ATGCTCACTCTCACCACCCTCCACAAACTCTTTCTTTTTTCTTTCTCCACTTCAATCATTTTCTTCCCCACACCTTCAATCTCTGTTTCTTCTGATTCCTTAACAACAACCCAAATCCTTAGAATCAACCAAACCCTCTTGTCCCCAAACGGAATTTTCCAACTGAGTTTCTTTTCCTACACAAATTTTTCTTGGTACTTGGGAATACGTTACACCATAGATAATGACAGAACTGTGGTTTGGGTTGCAAACAGAAACACCCCAATTCAGAATCCTGATTCTTTTCTCCAATTAACAAACACAGGAAGCCTCGTTATCATAGATCAATCCAATAAAACCATTTGGGCCAGTATTCAAATCAATAAAAGTTCAACCTTTAACAACAAAAACCCAATTCTTCAGCTTTTGGATTCTGGGAATTTGGTCGTAACTGTAACAGAATCACCAAACGAAAACGACCCATCAAAAAATCTATGGCAAAGTTTCGATTTTCCAACCGACACTTTGTTACCTGGCATGAAACTCGGTAAGAATTTCGACACAAACACTGAGACATACATAAATTCATGGAAGGTAAAAGAACAAGACCCTTCCAACGGAGACATATCTTTCAAGATGGATTATCAAGGTATCCCAGAGATTTTTCTCTGGAACAAAAACAGAAGAATGTATAGAAGTGGACCATGGAATGGTAAAAGATTCTCTGGTGTACCAGAGATGCAACCGGTAACAGATTCGATTCAATTCAGTTTCGTCGAGAACGAGCACGAAGTTTACTACACATTCACAATCGGGAAACAATCTTTATTTTCAAGACTCGGCGTGACTCCATCGGGCGAACTTCAAAGGCAGACATTCATAAATAGCAGAAACTTTTGGAGTAAATTCTGGTATGCACCAAAAGACCAATGTGATAATTACAAAGAGTGTGGTCCATTTGGTGTATGTGACACAAACGGTTCACCTGTTTGTAGTTGTATAAAGGGGTTTAGACCCAAGAATCGTCAAGCGTGGAATTTGAGAGATGGATCTGATGGGTGTTTGAGGAATAATGAACTGGATTGTGAGAGTGATAGGTTTTTGCATATGGTGAATGTGAAGTTACCTGAGACGAATAGGGTTTTTGTGAATAGGAGTATGGGGATTTTGGAATGTGGTGAATTGTGTAAGAGGAATTGTTCTTGTAGTGGTTATGGGAATGTTGAGATTGTGAATGGTGGAAGTGGTTGTGTTATGTGGCTTGATGAATTGCTTGATATTAGAGTTTATCCTGCTGGGGGTCAAGATCTGTATGTCAGATTAGCAGCTTCTGATGTAGGTATGTCTGTTTCTTCTCTAATTTGATTATTTTTCTTTTGATCAATTTGATAAAAATTGTTTTTTATTTTTTAATTTTATATAAATGATTGGAAAATTTGAAAGAGAGGGTGATTGTTGATTTTAGAAAATGTTATTTGACAAGTTTGTGGAATTTTAAGAACTGCTTGTGTGTTAGAAAGAATATTCCAGGTCGTTTTACATGCTGGAGTAGAGTCTTACATGGGATAGGCATTACTCGTTTGTCATGTTGCAAAACTAAATAGTTATTTTAATAGAGAAAAAAAAGTGTGTTTGATTAAGCGATATCTTCTCTAGAAACTATAGTTTGATAGGTTAAAAGTATTTTTCTAAAAATCGATTCAGACCGTAGATAAATAAGTTGAATTTGAATTGAAAATTGGAGGAACAAGTGACTCCAACTAACTATTAGGTCGATCATATGATCAAATTGATAGAAACCATATGAACCGGCCAAAATAAAAAGCAAAAGATGAATTGAAGATTTTTGCAAGTGGAAGATTAATGATTGCTTTTTTTCTTCTTCTTTTTCTTTATTTATATATATATATATATATATATATATATATATATATATATATATATATATATATATATATATATATATTGTTAAAATTAACAAAATCGAGATTCAGAGTTAGGGTATGTACACTCTCGATCATTATTATAAGAATTTTTTTTTTAAATTTATTGAATAAATGAATTAATCAATTAATCAATTATTCAATGAACATAATTTTTTATTTTATAATAGTGACTAGAGAGTCTAATTGTGATCGAGTTATCAAGTTTATGAAGTTCAACCAATAATTTTCCAGTTTGATTACCTATCCCTTGACTTTGCCAATTTAATTAAAAGTGAATTGAATGCAAACATTAATGATGAAAGAAATATCAAATGTGTTAAGTAAACATTAATTAATGATATTTAATAAAAATATATTAATCGGCCTTATCTTATAAAATTAATTTACACTATTAAAAACTTGACATTTTAATTTACATAAAATAAATCATGGTATTGGTTTTTGGAATAATATTGAGTTGAAAATTTGAAGTTGTTTTCTTCCCTTTGAACGGTGGTTTTTGCCATTCCATGCGACGAGTGGGAAGCCAACGCAACTTTTTGAATTGAATGATCCACGTGCTCTTCAATACTTTTGGGTCCCATTGCTTCCTAATCTTTTCACTTCCAAACTCTTTCATTTTCTACATTTTTTCCAAACGTTAAACTGCCAAACTTATCTCTAAAATTTATGTTACATTTTTATTGACACAAACCTCATGGATACTCATGAATTTTTAATTAATCAGGAATTGTTTAAATAAAAAAATTATTAAATTTTACTTGTGAAACAAAGTCCAAAAAGAGGATTAAAACCAAAACATATTTGTTTGTTCCGTTAAACTAACTTAGTTGATAGCTGTGTAGAAACATCTAATTGTAAAAGTGTGAATTCGAATCCGCGACAGTTCATTCATTCATAGTTAAGAAGATGAAAGTAAATTCAGCCACTGAACTACTAGGTAAAAAATCAAAACATGTCTAGCTGTTTGTGGTCGGAAAAAACATGTGCTCAAACTGCTTGTCATGATTAGTTAGGTCAGTTAACTGAATCACATAAATACAAGATTTAAAGGACTTCTAGCTGTCATAAGGACGGTGTTATGGGCCTTCAAATTTTAAATTGTCTTCTCATGAATTGGTGGGTTGTGGGCCAACAGTTTTGACTTGTGAGACTATATTTTTACTTTCTACACTCTACCCTTGCCGTCGCGCAATTAATGCAGAATATAGTGATGATGATTTTCATGTTTATCTGCTTTGTGTTTCATCTTTCTATGAAGAAAGATTTTGTATTTCTTTTGTACAAAATCACTTCCCATTCATATAGTTATCTAAACTAAGTATGTTGCAGATTCGAAACCCCATCTTATATCTCTGCAACTCCCAATTGAATTGTACTAAAAAGATTTATCAATGTATTATTTTATAAATGCATGATCACAATTTTGTTGCAGTCGCATCATAAACAAGTATGATCCAATATTTGACAAAGTATTTAAAGGAGATGGATCTAGTAATTAAAATGGAGCCCTCCACCTTCTATGGTGGGACACAAAGGGAGATTTTTTATCTACTTTGTTAAAGTTACATTTCTTCTCCAACGGTAAAGAATCCATTAAATTGCATAAACAAACAAAATCTTTCTTCGCTTTTTCTACTTAGCCTTTTTATGACTTATTGTTTATTTCTAATAAGAAAAGACATCAATAAAATATAAAAGTTGGTCTGGTTTTACAAGTACATAAAAGCAAAAGTGAGTGTTGCCTCCTCTAAATTATTGTGCAAAATCATATTGCTACTTTGGTGCATGATAGTGATACCCTTTGTTCCATTGTACTTGATCAAAATGACAATAACACTTTTTCATTGCAAGATTCACATGTATATGTTTAACATCAATTAATTTGTACTTACATATCTTAATGCTAGAATCATTGTTTCTTTATTTAAAAAAAAAAACTAAAAATAATGGAAAGTGGATATTAATCTCAACTACATAAATTATTTCTCAGATGATGATGTGCTAAGAGATGGTTCTGATCACAAGACAGCTAAAGTTATAGGCATTATGGTTGGAGGTGCAGCCATTATATTTCTGGTGTTAGGAATATGTTTCTTGTGGAGGAAGAAAAAATTAAAGTGTCTATGGAATTTGAAAGAGAAGAGAGAAAAAAAAGGTAAAGTAATCTATCATATATATGAATGTAGAATTGTACATGCATGAACTGCATGTAGAATGATGGAATGTTTTGCTTATTGTTCTGAAATGCAGGTTCATTAGAAAGAAGTCAAGATTTGCTTATGACTGATGGAGTGTTTACAAGTAATAGAGAACAATCAAATGAAACTAACATGGATGAACTAGAATTGCCGTTTTTTGATTTTAATACTATAACAATGGCTACAAATAATTTCTCTCAAGAGAATAAACTTGGACAAGGAGGCTTTGGTATTGTTTACAAAGTAAGCCTTTTTTTTTTTTGCAACTGTCGCCATGAAACGGTAACAATTAATATTTGCATGTCGTCCATTAAATATAACATGAATAACTATGGTTACATCAGGGTAGGTTGATGGAAGGACAGGAAATTGCTGTGAAGAGATTATCGAAAAATTCGGGCCAAGGTGTTGAAGAGTTTAAGAATGAGGTCAAGTTGATTGTCAAGCTTCAACATCGAAATCTTGTTCGGCTACTTGGTTGCAGCTTTCAGATGGATGAGAAGATGTTAGTGTATGAGTACATGGAAAATAGAAGCCTTGATGCCATTTTGTTTGGTGAGTTAATTTAATTTCGACATCTATATATTCATGTTTTGTTTTCATATGGTTGAGTTTTTAATGTGTATGCAAATGTTTGATATCCAGACAAAGCTAAAAGATCTACACTAGACTGGCAAACACGCTTCAACATTATATGCGGAATAGCTAGAGGACTTCTTTATCTTCACCAAGATTCGAGATTTAGAATCATCCATAGAGATCTTAAGGCAAGCAACATTCTACTTGATCAAGAGATGAACCCAAAGATATCAGACTTCGGGATGGCTAGAATTTTTGGCACGAATCAAACAGAGGCAAATACAGTTAGAGTCGTTGGAACATAGTGAGTACTTGAGTAACCCTCTAGCCAAACTTAATAATGATCTTATTATCTTACTATTTATAAATAATTTTGTTACGTGTAGTGGTTATATGTCTCCTGAATATGCTATGGACGGAATCTTCTCAGTGAAATCAGATGTTTTTAGTTTTGGCGTACTTGTAATGGAGATCATAAGTGGAAAAAAGAACCGAGGTTTCTATTCAGCAAGCAAAGAATTAAATCTTCTTGGTCATGTACGCAGAAAAGCTACTTTCTTAACTGTTATTCACTAATTTACAAACTTAATAGTATCATCTCTTGTTGCTAATGATATATTGACTTTTTTTTGTAGAGTTGGAAGCTGTGGAAAGAAGGAAATGCTTTGGAACTAATTGATTCGTCAATTATTGATAATTCATATTTACCATCAGAGGTTCTTAGATGCATACAAGTTGGATTATTATGTGTACAAGAGAGAGCAGAAGATAGACCAACAATGTCTTCAGTGGTTTTGATGTTGAGTAGTGAAACAGCAACAATAGCACAGCCAAAAAATCCTGGATTTTGCCTAGGAAGCAATCCTATTGAAACTGATTCTTCATCAAGTAAACAAGACGAATCTTGCTCAGTGAACCATGTTACTGTCACAATGGTAGATGGCAGGTAGTGGAAGGCAGGATCAATGAAATTGTGATTATATATACTTGCGATTTGTTTTTTAGTTCATAGGATTGGTCATGATATTTGCTTACACAGAAAAGAAATTTACTTGGTTTTCAATTTTTTAAGGTAAAATTGAAATGAAAAAGTTTATGTTTCATTACAAATCTATAAGGTTGATTAATATGAAATTTTTGTATGTATCAAATTGTTAACTTTATCTTTGTATCAAATATATGAATGACTATTGATTATTATTTTTAAACACCTTGTATTGTTTATAACCAATAAAGTTTAACCTTCTAAGCCTAATTAATCGTGGGTCTCACTTATGTCTCTAAAGTCAAATTCTTTTACATTTATTCCTAACAAGGTGCATGTATGAAAATAACTTATTCTGTATTCATTAGAATATAATTCACTTCATAGCTAGGTGTATCTTATCTTTATTGATTTTATTTAGGCACTTTCAGTATGTGTCAGTGTATCATTGTTCCATGGTTTTGAAAAATAGTTAAGCAGCCATCCAAAGACAATGCATAATAGTGACACAGTAAAGAGTTGATGACTTTAAAATCTAATGTTTAAGTGACTATGATTTGTTGAAGAGTAAACTTTGGGTCAGTTTGAGTATTTATATTTTCACCTGATAAAATGCAAGATGTGTATGAAAGAGGAACTCAATGGACTCTGCTAAAAAATTTCTCTATCTTGTTACAGCCCAAAATCATAAACACAAGTTTTGGTTGCTTATAAACTCTTTGATTCTACTCCTTAACGTCTCTTTTTGCTCTTGCTCTTCTGATACCATATCTACTGGCAAGCCTATAAGAGACGGTGAGCTTCTTGTTTCTAAGTCTAAAACATTTGCTCTTGGATTCTTCACTCCGGGAAAGTCCACCTCTCGCTATGTTGGAATTTGGTACTACAATTTGCCTATCCAAACTGTTGTTTGGATTGCAAATAGAGATACTCCAATCAACGATACTTCTGGAATACTATCAATCAACCCGAGTGGAAATCTAGTACTCCACCACAACCTCAGCACCATTCCCATTTAATGATGAACACTTCCATACACCATAGTAGATTTATTTAAACCATAATCTTCTCCATACCTCTTCAACTTTTCCATTAAATCTGCTAGAGATTCTGTTTGTTTCAAACTTAACAACACCTCAAATGAATTCTATCATTGACAGTTGAAATCTCTACCCAACTGCAGCCTACCTCCCCAAGAAGAATGTGATTTGCAAGAAAATTCTCATTATTGATACCAATAAGGACCTTTCCTTGCAATGCCACCATCACAGGTTGCACTCGTTCTGCATCAATAACCCATCTTGTTATCAAAATACCTTTCTACTTTGCTCAATCAGCCATATATCATTACACCCTCATCCGAAAATCGGCGAATTTTTACCATTCTCTCCTTAGATTCTCTGCACACAAGTGTTAATAGTTCCAAAATATATGGTCCCTCCTATAATGTTTCTTAACATATTTCCCTATCAAAACCCTATAACTCCATTTCCATTCTTCTCTCTTATACTCCAAAAACGCCTCCGAAAACAACTGAAAGTCACCTTTACCTAAAACCTCAAACACAAACGGATCCGTCGACAATCTCGGCCTATCATCCACATCCATTTTATGCAAAACAAACTCCAAATTCCTTCCAAGCTTCCTATCCAAGTAAGCATCCACAACAGAACCATAAGTAACTAAATCAGGAACAACCTTTTCACTTCTCATATGTTCAACACTAAGATGAAGATCCCAAAACAACGACATCCTCGAAAACGCCAACGCACGAATATTAAACGTCGTAACATCAGGACGAAACCCTAATTCAACCATCCTAATAAACTCCTTCTGCAAACTCTTCATCTTAAAATTAGCAGCATAAGAAAGCAACAAAAGATTCCACAAAAGATTCCCTACATTTCTCCTACCTAAACCAACATCTCTAACAAACTCACCCAATTCATAGAATTTTCTCTTCTTTATGTAACCATAAGCCATGGCCCTAATCACATTTATCTCAATCAAAAACCTAGATCTTTTGAACCTTCCATAAGCATTCTCCATTTCTTTCAAACTACCATAAACGGCGTAACATAAGAGAAATTCATTACCGGTTTTGGAATCCATTAGAAAACCCTTTGAAACCATTTCATTGGTTGTTTCTTCCATCAATTTTAGGTTTCCTGCACTTCCAAACGAGGAGATTGCTAATGAGTAAAATTGAGGTAATAAAGGTGAATTTTTTGAATTTAGAGAATGGAGAACGTTGATGATTTGATCAACGTTTTGATTTTTTGTGTATGATTTGAATAATTTTGAAATGAAATTGAAAGAGGGGTTGAAGGAACTGTTTAGGAGTTGTTCCCATGTGGTTTGGGATTGATGAAAGAGGGCATTTTCGGCATAGTATAACATCAATGAAGGTAGAGAAGAGGGTTTGGTATCATTGTGAGAAAGTAAGGAATTGGGTTGGTGAAAAAATGGTTTTTTTGAAGTGGAGTTTTGAAAAGATTTGATATTATTGCGGTGGTGAATTAGGCTATGATGGGGATGGTGTTGTTGTGGAGATGAAGATGATGAAGAAGAGTGATGTTTGAGAAGAAGAATATTATGAGAAGAGAGAGAAATGGTTTTCATTGAGAGTGAATGAAAGATGGGAGAAGCAAGCAAAGAGGCTATGTGCTGAAACTATGAGCAAACCAACCACACAATCAGTTATCCACAATTGCACAACGTTTACCAGACCATGCGAACCGTACAAGCCCCATGTTTCACTATAATCCCAGCCTGCACGCGTAAGGACAAAACACAATAGCCTGCTACAAGACGAACGAAAGCAAAAACAATTGCATACAAGAGGCCACTACACGTAGGGATGCTCAAATTAACCAGTTTGAAAGATTATGTTAGATAATTCTTCTATGTCGAATGGATCCAGACTGAATCGTGAACGAAATCACTTTCCTTAAAAGTATTTCAAGCACACTCTCAGATTGTCTTAGAGTTGGAACGGCCTGAATACCCAGGATAAGTCAGCCTTTTTCTCGAAACTGCACAAGACTGATGAAGTTTCGAATGCAAGGAAAATGTTGGAATTATATGGAAGAGGATTTCAGAATTTGGAGTGAATGATTTCGAATTATGAAGCATATATTTATAGCCATGCATGTGTCTTTTCAGAAGGTTGCAATTCTTCATAAACACACTCTCTAATGAGCATTTGCAATGGTTCACATAAAACATCATGCACCACTTCGTCAAGTGTCATGTATTTCAAATTCAAATTCAAAATCAAACTCTAGGCAGCGAATAAGTCTGAGCTGTGCTCAAGTGCCGTCTACAAGCCGCCACTAGCGCCTCTACGCCCACGGTTCCGGTTCCGGAGCCGGAGCCGGTGTCGCCGGTGGCGACACCGGCGAGGGGTGTTTTGTATGAGACAAGTGACATAAGTTTTGGCACCACCACATGTGACTATGTGGCACTTTATCCTTTTTGGCTCTTTTGGAAATTACATTGTTCCAAGTGCCTTATAAATGCTATTTAATTTTACTCCTCTTCCAATGTGGGACTAAGCATTTATTATAACACCCACTTTGTCATTTTGGAACAACTTTAATGGAAATAAATTATTATTTCCAACAATCCCCCACTTGTTCTAATAATGACAAAATAATAATTCCAGAAATGGGACATAAGAAGTATTAATACAGTTAAGTATCTTTCGATTTTAAACTTAACCTTAGTAAGAATAACACAAGGTTTAATCGGAATATTAGGTAGCAATGCTTTTAAACCATGAATCCATTTGAATAGACCGGTGTTACCTTACACACACTCCTTAAAGATTCTTCCTCTGCATAACTCGCTTAGCACTTATTTATGGCCATGTGCTATCCTGTTTCATGAATTTTTCATGAGAGAAACTCCAACTCTCACTTTGAGACGGCACCATCTCATAATTCACATAGGTGAAGTTCATATAGTATCTGTTTCCAATAGATACGTACCCTCGGTATTGAACTTCATTAAGAGTTTAAGATAAAACTCAACCCTCTTTTCTAATGTCAACATAATTATGAAATGTTAGACAATTATCCAAATCAACGACTTGTTGTTACCCATTGAAAATCTTAACGTTAATGTTCTGTTAACTTAAGATTGGGTTGCCGCCATTGTCGGAACTCTTACTCAAGGAGTTTCAACCCCATACCTCTCGAGGTTGTTCTTACTAAGTCTCTGGCCAGCGGCTTAGTAAACGGATCAGCCAAATTATAGCTTGTTCGTATATACGTAAGTGAAATGATTCCATCCTTAATCAGTTTTCTTACGAACGAATGTCTAAGTCCTATATGCCTGGACTTTCCATTATACACTTCGCTAAATGCTCTTGCCAAAGTGGCCTGACTATCGCAGTGTATCATTACCTTTGAAACATTGTCTTTAGCCAATGGAACTTCCAAAAGAAGATCCCTCAACCACTCTGCCTCTTGACTAGCGGAAGCGAGAGCCACGAATTCTGATTCCATGGTCGAAAGAGTAATGCATGTTTGTTTCTTGCTCTTCCAGGAAATTGCTCCTCCAGCTAGTGTAAATATCCACCCAGTTGTAGATTTGTGATTTCCCACGTCAGAGATCCAACTGGCATCGGTATATCCTTCTAGTATAGCAGGAAACCTACCATAATGAAGACCAAGATCTTTGGTTTTCAATAAATAACCAAATATCCTCGTGATTGCCTTCCAATGTTCATTACTTGGATTACTAGTAAATCTACTCATTTTACTAACTGCAAATGATATATCGGGTCTAGTACATTGCATTAAGTACATAAGACATCCGATCGCACTTGCATATTCTAATTGAGCCACTGCTCTTCCATCATTCTTTTCAAGTTTGATTACATGATCAAATGGAGTAGTTACTTCCTTGAATTTCAGGTGTTTGAACTTATCAAGCATTTTCTCAATATAATGTGTTTGATTAAGTTCATAACCCCCACTATTTTGCTTAACTTTTATTCCTAAAATTGTGTCAACAAGCCCAAGATCTTTCATCTTGAAAGTGGAAGTTAGAAACCTTTTTGTTTCTAGAATTCCATTAAGTCTATTGCTAATTATTAGCATGTCATCAACATAAAGACACAAAAATATTACAGTGTTATTATACACTTTTGTATATAAACACTTGTCACAAGAATTAGGAATAAATCCATTTGACATTATCGTAGAGTCAAACTTTTGATGCCATTGTTTTGGTGCTTGTTTTAAGCCATATAGAGATTTGACAAGTTTGCACACCTTCTGTTCATTTCCAGGAAGGACGTGTCCTTCTGGTTGTTCCATGTAGATTTCCTCATCGAGGTCTCCGTTTAGGAATGCTGTTTTAACATCCATTTGATGAACAATCAGATCATTTAAAGATGCTAAAGCAAACAACAACCTTATAGTGGTTGTTCTCGCTACAGGTGCATAAGTGTCAAAATAATCTATACCTTCCTTTTGTCTAAATCCTTTTGCCACTAATCTTGCTTTATAAGTGTTTAATGTACCATCACTATGATATTTCTTTTTAAACACCCACTTGCATCCAATGGGTCTTGATCCCTTTGGTAAATCAACAAGTTCCCAAGTGTGGTTGGACATAATTGAATCCATTTCATCTCGGATAGCATCTTTCCAAAAAGAGGAGTCTCTTGAAGCTATTGCTTCCTTATAAGTTTTAGGATCTTCCCCTACTTGAAGAATTACCGGAATGCTTTTAATAAAATTTTTATTATTTCCTTCAACCAGATAAAGTGAAATGGATTGAGAATCAATTTCGTCTGGTCCTAGGTTCTTTATTTTCCGGACTCTTTTGCTTATCCTAGGTTCGGGTCGTGGTTCATTTATTCGAGATGTGTCTTCAGGTTGTATTTCTACAATCCGAGAAGAGTCCTTTTCACAAGATTCTTTGTTTATGGCCGACTCTGATTCTTTATCCTTAGTTATAAGGTTTTCAAAGAATTCTACATCCCGGGATTCAACAATAATATTAG